CTCTCTCTCTCTCTCTCTCTCTCTCTCTCTCTCTCTCTCTCTCTCTCTCTCTCTCCCCTCATCAATTATAAACCTTCACAGGAAACCTTGCTCCAGCCCATCATGACACTCTGGCCACCTGAGCAGGAATCAGCATTTCATAGGGGAAGCCTCACCTCGAGACATACCTGAATTGACACAAGGAGCCAACAATGCTGATTGGCAGTCAGCGTGAATAGTGCCAGGCGGGCCGGGGAGTTTGGTCTATATGCCCACTCTTTGTTCAGACTGCTGTAACAAACACTATGGGCTGAACAACTTACAAATAGTACAAATTTATTGCTCACTGTTAAAGAGCCTAGAAATCCAAGAATATGGCACTACCAGATTTCACGCCCGCCGGGGGCTGCTTTCTGGCTCACCTTCTTGCTGTATCCTCACATGGTGAAGGGTTGAGTTCCTAGGGTCTTATTATAAGGATACCAGTCCTATATGAGGGCTTTGCTCCCATGAGATAATGACTTCCCAAAGGCCCCCTTCCTCATTCATCTTCACTGGGGAGGCTGAGAATTTCAACCTATGTGTGGAGAGGACACCAACTCCCAGGCCTAGCACCTGCCATGCAGGCAGGTTACAGCCAGCTGACCCTCTGAGACAGGGACCACAGCCAGAGTGACACCTTTGACTTCAGCAGCTGGCAAGACAATGGAGGCATTAGATGAGTTCCTCAAATTGGGAGGTCTCTGCTCTTGCCTGGAGCAAACAGCAGATGCCTTACCCAGGTTCTATGAAAGTGTAAACCAAAGCTGCCACCTGTCCTCTCCCTTTATTGTGCTGAGGGCCCCAGGGGCACTCTGGAGCCTTGTGCCTCAAGGGAACCAGAATAAAGGGTTGCCTTGTGTCCAGGTGTGGGTTGAGCTGGGAGGGATAATGCTGCCTTCTTCTCTACCCTGGCTGTGACCCAGCTTTCCCTCTACACCACCTGGCCTGCCTGGAGGCCCAGGGGAAGGCTACAGATACCACAGTAAGCTTCTGAGACGCTCAAATGCTGTCCCTCTGGAAACGGAGAAGCCTCCATAACACCAACAGGTTGTCCTTGAGCAGATGTCCTGGGCACCACACGACCAAACACATGAGCCTACAGGATTTCTCACACTCAGACCATGACAAATGGGATTTTCCCAATGAACTGGAAGCTGCTCAAGGCTACAAAGTCATACTTACAGACTTCAAGGATGGAAAGACATTGACCTCTGATTTAGCAAATGCAAGCATATTTCCAGCAAACAATTCATTTATTTCAAGAATGTCCAGGGGCTGGGGACATAGCTCACTCGGTAAAGTGCTTGTCACAAATATGAGCTCAGTCCCCATGGTGGTGTACCTGGAATCCCAGGACAGGGGAAGCCGAGACAGGAGGGTCCTTGAAGTGCTCACATGTCAGTCTAGCAGAGCTTCAAGCTCAGTGAGAGAGCCTGCCTAAAAAAATAAAATAAAAGAGCAGATATCAAATAAGGAAGACACCTGACTTTCACTTCTGGTCTACATTATCACATTCTCATTCTCTCTCTCTCTCTCTCTCTCTCTCTCTCTCTCTCTCTCTCTCTCTCAGAAAAGGAGTACCTACCTTGAGAGTAGCCTGGTTTGCTTAGTTTAGTTTTCCTCTGTTCAGCACAGCTGGATGGGAACAAAAATCTAGAACTGCCTGTCCCCCAAGGGAGCGCTGATTCTTTTCCCTCCTTATTACTGGGGGTAGAGTGGTGGCCTAGTATGTTGAGGAGAGACTGTAGTTGTACCTACTCTGTAGGGGGTTCCACATAGCTCAGGCCAAGAAGGCTGGTCCCATGAGGAAGCTGAGCTCTTGTAGGCCCAGTGACCAGCACTAAGCAAGCAGGTGAGACACATCTCCAAACACCTGAGCACAGCTCATGACTGACACCTTTGTACCAAGTGCCTGGGGGTAACAGGAGGGACGCCAGGATGCTACACCAATGGTAACAGCCTTGATAATAACCATAATAGGCTGGCACCCATAATAATAGGTCACAGGTGTCCGGCATTACACCAGTAGTAACAGCCTCGATATAACCACACCACTTGTATTGGCTGGACCAATAACAATAGGTCACAGGTGCCCAGCATTGAGACAGCTCTCTATTTCTTACTTTTTAGACTCCCCACTGAATCCCCGCTACCACAGAACAGTTTTATTGTTACTTCCAGTGGTCACCATTTGATAAGCATTACTGTGTAATAAGCCTTACCGTCCTTTTCTCATTTTCTACAAACAGCCCTGAATACCAGGCTGAATACCATTATCTACATTTCAAATGAAGATCAGTAAAATTATGAAGTATGACGGGATCATCCCACTGTCAGAAATCAAAGCTAGGTCTGCCTTCTTCTGAGCTTCCTTCTGCTCCTCACGGCCTCTCTGGGATCTCAGAGGCTCAAAGCTCTCCTTCTTGCTGTTGAAGGGAGGCAGAACATACAGGCACCAATCAAAACAGCTCTCCCACACGTGCCCTTGACCCAGTCAAAGGGATCTGCGTCATCACACACCTTATTTCACCTGGGGCTAATCTAGCCAGGAACAAAACTTCAAAATAAGGCTGTGCCCCATAATGTCCTAGTGTATGAATTCCCAAGGGAGTGTCCCTGTCTTTCCCACAACTTGTGGCCACTTCCTATCCAGTCAGGTTGACTGAGTACCTGTTAGCAATCTAGCACCCACTTCCTTCTTACTGAGGCCACTTTCCAGCCCCATGCCTCTTCCGCCTGGTTAGATTAATGTGCAAAAGGATGAAGCCAAAGGACTCACCAACTCCTGCAAATGAGAAACCAATGAATCACTGCCCCCCAGCCCATTGAGGGCTTAGTTAATTTCACTTAAAACTCTAATAGAAGCCTGAAAATGTAGCTCAGCTGGTAGATGGCTTGCCTGGCATGCATGAAGCTACAGGTTCAATCCCCAGAATTGCATAAACAAAGTGTGGTGGACATCTGGAATCCCAGCACTCAGGAGGCTGAGGCATGAAGATCTGAAGCTCAGTTCTCTCCTTTGCCTTATAGCCAGTAGAGTTCACATGGACTCTCAGAAACTGAACAAAAGAAAGGAAGGAGAGAGGGAAGGATGAAAGATACACAACTATTTTTATTTTGGTTTGATTGTTTGAGACAGGATTTTTCTGTGTAACAGCCCTGGCTGTCCTAGAACTCACTTTGTAGACCAGGCTGGCCTCAAACTCAGAGATTCACCTTCCTCTGCCTCCCAAGTGCTGGGATTAAAGGCGTGTGCCACACCACCTGGCCCACAACTATGTCTTTAAAAAAACTTTTTTTAAAGACATGAACTTTCTATGTAGACCAGGCTGGACTGAAACTCATAGCCTTCAGAGTGCTGGGATCACCACATCCAGATACAAATGTGTCTTATAAAAGCAATGACACATGATAAAGGATGTATCCTGAACTAAAACTGTGAGTGATGGATTATTCACATTTGTGAGAACATGGAAACCTGGAACAATATGAATTTAAGATAGCGTGTCACCTCATAGCTACAAATCCCTCCTGATAATTGTAGAAATGTAACCAAAATGTAAAAGAAAATACAAATGAGTTTTGTTTTGCTTCTGGATAGAGAAAGACCACATAAGCATAAAAGCTCCAGGGAAACCACTAAGTACATAACTGCATAGCTAATCGGCACAACCTTAAAACTCTAAAAAAAAAAAAAAAAAAAAAAAAAAAAAAAAAAAGGAAATAAAAACCTGCACACTTGTGCAGTTCCCTTCTTAATATATAGTCAGAGCACTGGAGAAAAGTTCAAGTTCAAGGCACACCAAATGTGCCAGAATACCCCTCCATACTCTCAGCTCGGTTTGGCTAGGGTGTTAGGGCTTGACATAAGGGACCCCATTTTGGTTCTGACACCTCACAAGTTGCCTATATTTTGTTCACCTTTTAATTTAAAATTTTTTATTAATTTATATATTTCCTTCATGTATCAGAGCTATTCACCAAGTATTAACCAACCATATATGGTGTTAGCAATATTTTTTTTGGTTCTCATTTAGTTTCTCATTTTAACTGTTACTTTTGATGTGTAAAGGATCTTTTTAATTATATATTTGAATTGACAATAGTTCTTTATAGTTTCCTTTCACTATCATATCTTCTGCACTTTTTTCTTTTCTTTTTTGTCCGAGGAAGGGTTTCTCTATGTAACCCTGGCTGACCTGGAACTCACTTGTAGACCAAGCTGGCCTGAAACTCAGAGAGATCCTCCTGCCTCTGCCTCTGGAGCGCTTTAGAGTTTGCCTTGTAAACAGAGTGTAGGGAATCACAAGCCTGAGGTCAGTTGGCTACGTAGTGAGTTCAAGTCCAGCCTGAGTTACTTAGCAATGACACTCATAAAGGTGTGCCTGCATCAACAGTGACATGAGGAAGTGTTGAGATAAAAGGTGAATTCATTTGGGATATTCTGAGATTTGTAGATTGGCTTGAGAATGTTCCTCTTTTCCACACTGAGTCTTCCCATCCCCTAAGACCTGCCTCCTATGCACTTAAGGCACTCAAGCCCCACCCACGCAAGACAGACTCATAAAGACTTCCTTTCGCTCTGTTCTGTTTTCTTCATCAGTTATGTATATTTTTAGACATTCTGTTTTACTTATGATATTGGGATAGAACATATGTTCTAATTGACACTGTTAATATGTAAAAGACTCTTTATTTTAAAAAATGTATTTCGTATCTGTGTTCTTTGTTAAACTTTAGTATTTCTAAAAGTTTTTTAAATTATTCTCTTGGTATACATTCATGCCATCCTCAAATGAAGCCATTTTGACTGTTTCTCTCCAGTCTTATCCTGTTTAACAAACTTTTGTTAAAAGGGACCAAGGAATTCTCACCCCCCCCCCGTGTGTGTGTGTGTGTGTGTGTGTGTGTGTGTGTGTGTGTGTGTGTGTGTGGTGCACTGCACGAACACAGAGACCAGAGGGATGACACTGGGTGTCCTTCTCTGTCACTCTCCGCCTTATTCTCTTGAGACGGGCTCTCTTGCTGAGCGGAGCTAGGCTGGCAGGTGGCAAGCTCCTGCAGCCACCATTTCCGCCCCCCACATGCTGGGATTACAGGCACACTCATAGCCGTGCCTAGTTCTTCCATGTGGGGGCTAGGGATTTGAACTCTGGTCCTTGTGCTTGAACAGCAAGTGCTCTAACCACTGAGCAATCTCCCCAGCACCAACAACAATCTAGTTCACTGTACTGATAGCACGTTTAGAATACAGAAATATCAGGGATGTTTCAATGTGACTATCACACAGTATTGACTGAGGTTTCCAGATCGTGGGCATGGTCTCACATACAACTTTTCAGTATTAAAATAATCAGTGGATTTTCAAATAAGGTTGAGTGCATGAACAGACTTTTTGCCTCTGCATTCCTAGAATGAATTTCACCTGATAGTGGTACTTTCTTTAAAGTATGTGACTAGCTTGTCAAAACATTGTCTCATATTCTTCATCACGCCTTTACGTAAGATTGGGATTGAGGACTTGTATGTGCTTTTGCTCTCTCTTCTCATGTGACCGTTTGTGCTGTGTGGCTTGTTTTAGGAAAATGCTTATGTTGTAATGATTTAATCCCCTTTATTTCCAGTCTCATATTTCAAGCTTTCAGTTGCTCATGGTCAAAAAAAAGTGAGTCTAGTACAGTAAAATATTTTGGGAAAGACCATGGTCACATGACTTTCATTACATTCAGTAGACTTAGAGTTGTTCAAATGTACCTTGTCACTGTTGTCAATCTCCTATGCCTGATTTATCAGCTCTGTCACAGATACCTCTGCACAGGAAGTCACATCCACAAGAGTTGTTACTCTGTAGCTTCAGGTTTCCATGTATTCAGTCTTTGCCTTTCTATGCAGAGAGTGGGAAACACAAAAACTAATGTTAATAGTAACACTAGTGAGCTAGGTGATGGAAACCCTGGCAGCTTTTCTTTCCCTTATTTTTATAATGTTATTTTTATAGCAAAATGTTTCAAATACATGCCATTAAAAGAGACTTCTGGAGGGTGAGAGAGGCGGCCGAGCCATTAAAGGCTCACAACCAAAAGCAACTTCTAGAGAAATTAATAGTGACCACTGCGAAGGGGAAATGAGGTACACTTCCTGTTCTTTGTCCTCTCGTAAATCTCTTCAGCCATCGGCACTTCCCCCTCTCTGTCTATACTCCACCCGTACTGCTAAAAATAAAAATATACTTGTTTACATAAAATAAATGACCTCCTTCGCCGCCTTAAACCCAGGACTCCTCAGACCGTAAGCCACAGCAAACAGATACAAACTGTTCTCAGGCTACAACAAACAAGAAATTCTGTGTGTGAAGCGGAGTCAAGCTGAAGACTTGTGGCTCTGAGTACCAGGGTGCAGAAACTCAAGTCAGATGCAAGCCGTGGAGGCCAGGCTTTTGCTGAAGCGAAAGCAGACAATGTGTCGAAATTTCTTCAAAACTACAAGATCCCTTTTTTTTGAGACAGGGTCTTGCTGTGCAACTCAAACTAGACTTGAACTCATGATCCTCCATCCTCAACCTCCTGTGTACTAGAATTACAGACATGTGCCACCATGAGGGACAGAACGAAGTCTCACTTCTATAGAAAGATGCCCTTTGGTATTGAGTGAGACCAGAGGGACTTTCAACATTCCGTAGTGACATATGATGCCCCTGTCTTCACACAATGCACCAGGCGTGGATACTGAATACTGTCCCTCTCTTCCAAAGTCTTCTCAGTGCTGAGGATACTAACTTTCTTGAAATCATTAGAAAACATACTGAAATTGTGAATAAGAAAAGCCAGGGTTTCCTTCATCCCAGTGATGAAGGACATGCTGGGAAGGTACTCCTAAAGATGTTCCATCAGCCCAACATGGAGCCACGTTGATGCCTGAAAAAGAAAACTTCATCAGTCAGCAGAGGGATCTGTGTTTCTCTCTGTCCCCAAAGGCTGTCACAGCTTGTCAGCTCGTTACTGTGGGGCCTGCAACAAGATTTACAGCACATTTTTTTTTCTTCTAGGGAATTCACACTGTAAAGGAGAGATCAAATTTCCCCATTTTTTCCATGTCTGTATGGTGTATGTGTGCGTGTATGCACATTTGTATGTGGGTGGGTGTGTACCTGTGTTCACATACATTGAGGCAGGGTCTCCCAGTCAAAGCCAGAGCTCACTCATAGGGCTAGTCTTGCTAGGCAACTTTCTCTAGGGATCCCATCTCTGCCTTCCAAGGTCCCCACACTTACCTGGCATTTATGTGAGTTCTAAGAATAGAACCCCCAGTCCTTGGGCTGTGTGCCACAAGGTTAATCACTTAGTCTTCTCTCCAGGCCAAGAACAATAAAATTCAAAAATACTGGACTGATGGGACTGGAGAGATGGCTCAGAGGTTAAGAGCACTGGCAGCTCTTCCAGAGGTCCTGAGTTCAATTCCCAGCACCCACCTGACAGCTCACAGTTGTCTATAACTGTATTTCCCATGGATCTGATGGCTTCTTCTGGTGTACAAAACACCCATGGACCATAATATCACCACAATCCCCCAGAACCTGGCCTGGTCTTGTTTAAATCACGTATGTTGGGGGTTGGGGCAGGCCTCTGTGACCACCACAGCCAGCAGAGTAATGATCTGCTGGAAGCAAGAAGGAAGTTTGGTTTTGATGAAAATATTGCTGGTGATAATTAACTCAATCCCACGTGGCAAATAAAGCTTAAGACACGACTACACTGAAACTCTTTGTAAATACCTATGACATTTCCCATAAAGATGGGTTCTATAGCTTGACTGCATGTGACACCTTGTATAAAGATAGTTCCTATAGATTGACAAGCTCACAATAAGGGCCTGGGGGAGGATCCAATGTGGTCTTGGCCACACAGCACAGAAGGTCACTAAGCTATTAAAAGTCACGTCCACGCCCGGCCTTATGGGCAGTTAACTGGTATACATCCCTTCCTTTGAAGGAACATTCCTGGTTCCCCTATGCTTATCTGCGAACACAAGGACTTCTATGCCTTCCACAATATCCTGCCAGGAACAGGGGTCTCATGCTTGCAATCCCAGCACTTGGCAGGCTGAGGCAGGAGAATTACTATGAGTTCAAGGCCAGCCTGGGCTACATAATGAGTTCTAAACCAATCTGAGCTACAGAGTGCAACCCTGTACCCTCCAAAACAGAAACTTTAAATTTTATATATATATGTTCCTTTTTAAAGATTACAGACAATAAGAATCAAGATTAGTTATTTTTATTTAGTTCTTAATTATTATTTTATATGTGTAGGTGTTTTACATCTATACATGTCTGGACACCACAAGCATGCCTGGTGCTCACTGAGGTCAGAAGAGGGCATCAGTTCCTCTGGAACTGGAGTTACAGAGAGTTGTGAGCCACCATGTGGGTGCTGGGAATCAAACCAGGTCTTCTGGAAGAGTAGCCAGTGCTCTTAACTGCTGAATCAACTCCCCAGCCCAAGACTGCAATTTTAAAGCAAGTCTATGTTGATAGTGAGGTACTGAGATTCCCCATATGTCCCTTGCCTCCCCCTTGCATAGCCTCCCCAACATCAGCATTCTCATCAGGCTGATATATTTGTTGCCATTGATGAACTCATACCAACACATCAATGTCTCTCATTGTCCTCCATTTACATTGTGAAGGCCTAGACTTGACTTTACAGGCTCCATCTTAGGGGAAGGGCCACCATCTCAGACCACCTGCTGTACTCAGTTCCAGGAAGGATCTCAGGAATGTGCCATGACAACTTGAACAGATACAGGGCAGTATGCTCCTGCAGACATTCTGTCTGTGGTTTATGGCCCTTGAAGATATCTAGCTATTCCTGCTGAGCAGCCCAGATAATCCTGTTCAGCGGGTTGTGGTTCCCTGCCAAAAGTCTAACCCAATGATCTCAAAATGTAGTTTTGCGCCCAAAGTCTAGACCAATAGTTTCAAAAAATCACCTTGCCCCATATCCCTTCTACCCAATCCCAAGCATGTAATTCCAAGCTTGTGGTTTTTCCCTATAAAAACTCTACACCTGGGTTCGTGGCCTCCGCCACATTTCCTTCCAACTGCCAAGTGGTGGCCCAGGTTGAACCTGAATATAAGGACCCTTATGTGCTTGCATCAGAAACAGGCTCCTTGGTGTTCTCTGGGGATTTCGAGAAACAGCTACAACAACATGAAACTTTGTTCAAGATGTTCCATATTCTAAACATCTGGACAAATTCATAAGGTCATATGGTGCTGTTACAGTCTCACATGGAGTCTTCTACCCTCTCAGTTCACTCACCCACATGCCAATTGTTACCTGGAAACACCCTCATAGTCACACCTAGAAGAACATTGCATCGTCTTCCTATGGGTCTTTTAATCCATTCCCACCCAACCCGCATGGCTTAGGTCCCATCACCCTGGCTAGGAACGACAAGGTAATGAAGAAGGGACACAAACACACACACAGTGAAGCTGGGATCAGGTGGGTTCTGAAAGGACACACACACACACACACACACACACACACACACACACACCCAGGGAAGCCAGGATCAGGTGAGGTTTTCAAAGGACACACACACACACAAAAACACACACAGTGAAGCTGGGATCAGGTGGGTTCTGAAAGGACACACACACACACACACACCCAGGGAAGCCAGGATCAGGTGAGGTTTTCAAAGGACACACACAGTGAAGCTGGGATCAGGTGGGTTCTCAAAGGACACACACACAGTGAAGCTGGGATCAGGTGGATTCTGAAAGGACACACACACACACACAATGAAGCTCCAGCTCTGCAACCTGTAACCTCAATGTGTTTACTAGATACAACACCTGGGCAAAGGTTAACTAGTCTCCCTGGGAGGTCTCTGTAGCCAGCATCTCAGGCTGTAAACATCCAGAAGGAAGTCACAGTTTCTAGTCTTTGCTGCCCTGGACCGGTCATCCATAAGCACTCATACGGAGCCTAAGGAAAACTTTGCCGCTTCTCTTGAGCCTGGGCCATATGAGTAATGGCTTTGCCAGTTATCCATGGGTTCAAGGACTTGGGCTATCTTGACGTGGTGGTGCCCATGTCAAAACACACATCCACTCAGCACTTCACTCACTCATGGCTTCCTCTGCTCCCTACACCAGTCAAGGTGACAAGAAGATGCCCAGAGGAGGGCTGGGGTCCTCAGGGGGCTGGACTCAGGAACCTTGCTGGTCCTAACTGGAGCTCTGTTGACACACAGCATCACTTGCCTATTAACATCTACCTTCCCGGCAGTTACAGAGAGCTTTCGTGGAGACTTCAAACTGTTCCCTAGGGAACTTTTCAGCCAGTGATGTTGAGTACCCTTCCACGCTTGAACTGAGTGATTCTAAGGAAATGGGTTGAAATGGTTTTTTTGATCTTCTTTTTCTTGACAGTGCTGGGGATAGAATCTAGGGCTTTGAACATGCTCGGCAAGTCCTCTTCCACCGAGCTTTGTCCCCAGCCCTTGGGTTGGCCGCTAGTTTGTTTGACTCTTGTTATACAGCCCCGGGTAGCCTCAAACTCTTGGATCTTCCTGCTTGTACCTCTCAAGTGCTGGGATTATAGGTGTGCACTGTCACACTAGGCTCTACGAACTTAACACCGACTTGGTGTCCCTCTCCTATAACGGAAGAAAAGCAGACAAAGTGACCCTTGTTTCCTCAGGGATCATGGATACATTTAAGACCACACCCCAGAGACCTACTAAACCAAAAGGAAAGAACACCGCCTCTGGGACAGCTCTGGGACAGGCCCAAGCTTACCCATGCAGCGGCACAGGCACTTGCCGTGACCAGTGACACCAAATAGGAGTACAGAGGGCAGCTGCACCCCCGCTTTTCCCCAGTGGCTGCGTCCTGTCCCCTACAGCAGTCTGGTGGCAGATGGCAGCCTGTCACAGGAGGGGGCTGAGTTGTCTCGGGTGACCACTTCCCCTCCCACGGCAGAGGCCCTCTGCCAAGGGGAAGTGTCTGGAAGTCCCCACCCACAGTGCTCAGTCTGAGCGGCGGGGGTGCATCTGGACAGACTGGCGGATGCTGAGGTGATACAGTTACAGCGACATGAAACACACCAAGTCAGGGTTGGAGAGGACGCAACAGTGACAGATCTGGTGAGATCTGCAACTCCAAATTAAAACAAGTCCCCTCCTGGCGTCTCACACCTCCAGCTGTGACTGAGCGGCTAGGCTGAGGGAGGTCGGCTCAAGCCTCTAAGGAGCATATCACACTCCTGCAGGGCTCTGCGAGGGAGAGCAGGGATGTGACTGAACCATGTGGGTGGACGGGGGACCTCTCCCTCCAGTAGTTCAGCTGTCTCTGTCCCTAATGAGGGACTGAGGATTAGGTGGGACTTTAGAGAGGTTACAGAGCAGCTCGATAAGAAGAAAGAGACAGGGATTCCTGCTCTTCTCCACCTTCGGTTGTCGGGGTTGGTTTTTGGAGGGGGGTTGTTGTTTGGGAGGGAACTCATGTAGCCTCAGCTAGCCCCAGACTTAGTATGTAGCTGAGTGTAACCTCTGATCTTCCTGCTTCTACCTCCAAAGTACTAGGGTCACAGGCAGGTGCCACCACGCCTACCAGACAATAGACATTCGAACACAGAGAGATGTCATGGTGGTTGTCTTTCCCTGAGTGTTTATGACACTGAACGCTTCTTTTCATATATCTGTAGCCACATGTATATTTTATTTTGAGAAATGCTGAGGCTCTACTAGAGTTGGAGGCCAACCTGGGCTATAGAATGAGAACATACCAGCCAGGGCTACACAGCAAACTCTATCTCAAAACAAAAAACAAAAAGCAATTTTTGCTTTTCAAATAAGAAAATGTCCTGGATAGGGTCCCCAGTGGCTCCCCTAATGACCAGGCACCAGACTAAGAACTAAAGTAGAAACACTCAGCCCTAACTTTGCTCAAACGGGGTTGCTGCTCATCAATTCCGATACCCCAGCTCACCACGACCCTGCCCAGCAGTAGATACAGGCCACGGTGGGCATCTGGGAATGGTGCACATGGCCAAATCTTCCAAAGAAGCAGCTATATTAGAGTAAGTTTCTGCGGGGCAGTTTGGAAACCTGACCACTATCCAAAGTAGTGCTCCCGTAAGAAAGTATGGCCGGGTTCCAAACTGCTGACTTAGCAAGTTAGGGCCTCATATGCTTAAGATTTTAGAAATACAGCCCCAGGACTTCACAGACTGAATTGAATTATTCAAACCATAGCTATGAGATCTAGGGCCAGCTACATTTCCAGGACCCAGTGGTGGGGTTCTTATTCAAAGAGTAGGACAAAAAAAAAGAGCCATTAAAGGCTGAGGGCTAGGGAGAGGCATCATGGGGATAGGGAGAAATGGGGTACTGGGAAAGTTCCCAGGAATCCCCGAGGATGACCCCAGCTTAGACTACTAGCAATAGTTGAGAGGGTGCCTGAACTGATTTACCCCAGTAATTAGATTAGTGAATACCCTAACTGGCATCATAGAGTCTTCATCTAGTAACTGATGAAAGCAGATGCAGAGATCCACAGCCAAACACCATGCCAAGATCCAGGAGTCCAGCTGAATAGAGAGAAGAGGAATTCTATGAGCAAGGGCCATCAAGATCATGATGGGGAAACCTACAGAGACAACCAAACCAAACTAGTGGGAACCCATGAACTGTGGACCAATGGCTGTGGAGCCTCCATGGGACTGGACTAGGCCTTCTGCATAGGTGAGACAGTTGTGTAGCTCGACCTGTTTAAGGGCCCCCCTGGCATTGGGATTAGGATCATCTCTGGTGCATGAGCTAGCTTTTTGGAGCCCAGTGCCTATGGCGGGACACCTTACACAGCCTTGGTGCAGGGTGAGAGGCTTGGACCTGCCTCTACTGAATGTACCAGGCTCTGCTGACTCCCCATGGGAGTCCTTGCCTTGGAGGAGGTGGGAATCAGGGGTGGGGTGGGAGGGAAGGCTGGAGGGCAGGAGGAGGGAGGAGAGGGGGAGCTGTGGTTGGTATGTAAATGAATAGAAAATTTCTTAAATAAGAGAAAAAAATGGCTGAGAACTGTTTACTAGCAATCAAGTATCATCCTAATATGCACAAGGGTGGGGTTTTTGTTTGTTTGTTTTTTGTCTGTTTTGTTTTGTTTTGAGACAGGGTCTGACAATATAGCAAAGGCCTTGACTTAGCCTGGTCTCATGTGGAGTTTTCTGCAGTTCTGCTCCAGGCTCCTGAGTGCTGGGTGTTTCTTTGCTATTTAATAAATTGTTCTCAACAGAAGAAAAGTAAAGTTGAACACAATTAGCTAGAACTTCGGTTTTACGTTGCATAAGGCCAGCTTCGATGTAAATAGAAGAGTCGCTGTAAACAACAGCATGGCAGTCTCCCTCTGGACAGAAAAGGGAAAACGCTACATGAAGCTAACACAGCTCACTGTACTCCATGACTTCTCTTCATTTTGAGATAGGGTCTCATGTAAGCCACAAGAAGTATGTAATCAAATGTCAGCTCCTGACCCTCTTGCCTCTCAGGTGTGTGCCACCATGACTGATTTATGTCACATCTTCTTAGAACAGGTCAGTGTCAGAACTCTGTCCCCAGCTCACTGACAAGGCGTGACAGTTGCCCGCAAGCCGCTTCCCTGGATGCTTCATTCCTAATGCAAGCGCTTGCATGACAGAGGGGAGAACAGGAGCAAGAGAGGACAGACAGAACTTTAAAAAAAATGTACGGGGCTGGAGAGATGACTCAGTGGTTAGGAGCCCCTGTCTGTCCTCTTGCAGAGGACCCTGTTTGATGCCCAGCATCCGTGTGGTGGCTCACAACCTTCTGTAACTCCAGTCCAGGAACTCTCATGCCTCTTCTGGCATCTGAAGGTACCAGGCATGCATGCAGTAAGCAGAACAACACCCATACACATAAAATTATAAAATAAAATTTTAAATCTTTTAAAGATTCCTTTTTATTATTTTTTTACATGCATTGGTGTTTTGCCTGCATGTATGTCTATGTGGGGGTGTTGGAGTTACAGACAGTTGTAAACTGCCATGTGGATACTAAGAGTTGAGCCAGGGTCCTCTAGAAGAGCAGCCACTGCTCTTAACCTCTGAGCCGTCTCCCCAGACCTTAAAAGTTGTTTAGGAGAGGACAGGATATGTTCCTTGGTCATTACCACGCTCATCATTCTTTCTGTGTTCTGAGCAAGCTCTGACTTGAACACAGAGCCCTGCTCTCAGGCTGTTAGAGCCCTCCTTCGGCAGACATACATGCTTTGTGTACCTGCTGGAAGTCTCACTGAACTCCCCACATTGTGGGCTCACAGAAAAACAACAACAACAAAAACTGTGCCTGTGGCATCGTGTACAGCTCACTTGGTGGACCGCTTGCCTGGCATGCAAAAGGCCCTGACTATGATTCCCAGTGCCACATACACTGGATGTGGTGGTTTGTGCCACTAATCCCAGAACTCGGGAGGTGAAGTCAGGAGAACCAGAAGTTTAAGAAAAAGAAAAATGTATGAAGAATTTCGAAATGACAGCAGAGCATTAAGTCAGGCACCAGATTGCTGGGTTCTCTGCAAGCCCAGAGCATCCTTCAGTGATGATGCCAGTTATATCCCCTGACCCTTTGCCCACCCAAAGTCAGTCATCCAACAGTTAGCAGCTGGGAATAGTCCTGAAGGCATGGAGTGGGCTGGAGCTACAGTGTCTGCCATCGGCCATTCATTCAAATGCTTATTAGGCACCTGCTGTGTACCAAATAAGGTACCATAGAAAAAACAAAAGGCCGAGCTTCGAGATATTAATTAGTTTGTTAGATTGTCAAGTGTCAAAAAATAAACTAGGGAAGGAATAAGAACTGGCGTGGCCCAGAAGTTTTCAATGTTGACGTATTAATCTTTTTATGGCCATAAAAGTTATTGAAAATACCATAGGAGAATGCTGAGAACAGTGGAGGAATGGAAGGTGCCAGTGCCTGGATGACAGGGACGCTGAGCCCCAGTGATTCCAGCCAAGCTGCTCCATTTGTAGAGTAGGAAACAAGTCTCCTCAGAAAGTGATCCCACAGCCAGGTGTGGTGGGCACGCCTTTTCCAGCACTCGGGAGACGGGGGGGCAGGAGGATCTCTGTGAGTTCCAGGACAGCCAGAGCTACACAGTGAGATCCTATCTCAAAAAGATTTATTTTAAAAGGTTATTTCACTGATTGTAAGGGCTAAACAAATTCTTAGTTCTTACAGCCCTTAGAAAGTTCAGTAGCCCACATATGAACCAGCTTTTCAGTCAAACCTTTCACATTTTCACGTATAAACAAGCCACTTGACCAGACACCTTAACCTAAGACAAAAGGCGTGTGGGTCGAGGGGGTGGCACCCACTATCCTGTGAGGAGACGTCTCCTTTTCCTAAGGGAAAGTGAATGATGAGTGAGGTGATCCACCAGGGCTGTTTTATTGGGCCAAGCTCAACCCAAATTAACACGAGCTAGTGAGGTGCTGTGCTGGCTAGTTTTACGTCAACTTGAACCAGACTAGCGTCATTTTAGAAGCGGTAACTTCAGCCGGGAGGTGGTGGTTGAGAAAATGCCCTCACCGGATCAGCCTATGGACAAACCTGTGGTGCTTTTTCTTGGTTGATAATTGATGTGAGGGCCCAGCTCTGTGGGTGGGGCCATCCCTGGCCTGGAAGTCCTGGGTTCTATAAGAAAGCTGACTGAGCAAGCCATGAGGAGGGAGCCAGTAAGCAGCACCCCTTCATGGCCTCTGCATCAGCTCCTGCCTGGAGTTCTGCCCTGAATTCCAGGAAGATGGACTATAGCTGTAAGATGAAATAAAAATTAACCCTTTCCTCCCAAGTTAATTTTGGCCATGGTTCACGCACGGTACAGGTGAGTCTTCTTAATGGTTTCCCTAGATACCAAATCTCTCTCCAAGAGAAGTGTCCAGTAATTTCTGTCCCTTCTCAAAATCGTTACTCTCTGCCCATCTCTGTCTGTCTTTCTGTCTCTCTCCTTCTCCTTTTCTCCATGGTCTTGCTAAGCCCAGATTGACCTGCAAAACTCTATATAGTCCAGACTGCCTCTTGAACTCTCCATCCTCCTGCCTCAGCCTCCTAAGTGCTGGGCTTACAGGACCCAGTACACAACCACACCCAACTACTAATACATCTCTTGACACATGTAAGAACTTACAATAACTATGAAGATGGAAATGCTCGGAAGAAAGCAAGAGGCCCGCCTGACCCCTGCTTTTCTGTCTTCTTCCCCTTCTAAGTGAATCAGTAGACAAAGATACAAGGAGGCTTCTGGAACCTTATTTTCGAGTCATTTTTTAACCTCCAAGTTCAAATTCCACTTGTTAATTTTTAATGTGTCTGGATGACAAAGGAAAAGAAAGTACATTATCCCCTGGGAAATTAAAACTGTGGTGACCTTGCCAAGAACTCAGGCCACATGTGCCAAGCACCTAGCCCAGGCCATCCCTGCATGCTGCCACTTCCTGTTTAATTTCAGTGGGGCTAAATGTGAAAGTTCATGCCTCACCTACTTTTTCTTCGTGGACTTCCGTGTGCCAGGAGACAGAGGCTGGGTATCAGTCTGGGGTTACTGGTTCACTCAGTCAGAACAGAGAGAGCGGCTGGGGTGGCTTGTTACTCATTCCCAGCTTTGCTCAGACCTGGGGCAGAGTGGATGCTGGCCTGATTAATTGACGGTGGATTCTGCCCACGTTCCTTCCACGGTGAGGGCCAGCACCACTGAATCTGGCTTTGTCTTGAACCTCATTGTCCAATTCCGGATGCCTTCCTGCATTTCAAGGCTCTTAAAGGCTTCATGAAGTGAAAGAGACAAGAAAGGGGCAGTCAGACAGGACACACTGGCTGCACTATTCTTCCCAGTCCACCCGGTTCCAATGAGCTCCTGCATCTTGAATGAGAACTGCAGTCGACTACCTCCCTCTGGCCGTCACATCCTCACTCTCGGGCTACGGATGCAAATGCAGGCACGTCCACTTATTCCAGTGTACCGCCTGGCACACGTATTTGGTACACAAGGCTCTATCGTTCACTCAGTTTTGCTGGGGACACACACACACACACACACACACACACCCCAAACCAATCAACCAGACTTGGCAGCACTGACTGCCCTGGAATGCCAGAACTCAGGAGGTGGTGGCTGGGAGATTGAATTCACGGCCATCCTCACCTACAGCCTGGAAAAATTAAAGAAAAGGGGCTGGTGAGACGGCATAAAGATGCAGGCTGAGCAAGCCACAAGGAGCAAGTCAGTAAGCAGTGATCTTCCGTGGCCGCCGCTTCACTTCCTGCCTGTAGGTTCCTTTGACGATGATGGCCTGTGATGTGGAAGTGAACCAAGCCCTCCTCCCCCAAGCTGCTTTTGGTCCCGTGTTTCATCAACCCCAGCTGAGCTCCTTGGCACACTGCTGCTTCCCCAGTGTGGAAGTTCCTATTCCGTTCTCGTTAGAGTATGCACTTTTGTTTTTCCTAAGTTTCAGGCTCTTGGGGCCGGAAAGATGGTTCAGTGGGTAGAGCACTTGGCACCAAGCTTGAGTGTAATCTGTAAGAACGCACACAGGGACAGAAGAGAACTGACCCTGACAGGCTGACATCCGACCTCCATACACAAGGCACATCACGGCAGGTGTGCCACCCCCACCCCACACATAAATAATAAATGTGAAGCAAAACATAATAATGTCCTGGCTCAGCAGGTCGCCTCACCTTAGTCTCTGAGGGGCCAGGACCACAGATGTAGGCATGCACCCACTGCTTTTTATTTATTTTTGTCTTCTCTTGCTGTGTATCTGGAGCTACTAATGATCAGTCTGGCCTTTGCTGACCTAAAATGTCACTGGAAGTTGCTTTCAGCTTATCATTCCACAGCAAACACAACAGTGTCATCTAGATTTGGGATCATTCTTTAGCAAGGAGGAAGAAAAACAGAAAGTCTCTCCTCCAAGAGGTGGTGCAGGTCCTCAAGACACCATTTCCTTCTCCTGGGAAAGAATATGAGCCACCAAGCAACAGCAGGAAGGAGGTGTGGGGAGAAACCTTCACCTCCGCTAACGCTAACCGCACTCAAAGAGCAGACAGAAGACGGAGAGCCGCTAGACTCTTTGTGACGTGTGAAAGTCAAGACAAAGCCTTCCTTTGCAAATGAGAGGCTCCGGGCTCTGCCAAGGCACAGCCCAGCCCAGGGAAATGCACAGATGTCTTTTCAAAGAGAAGCCCCGCACGCACGCACACACGCACCCGCTGGCACCTGGAACACGAGACTGAGCAAGCCACCCTCCTCTCACACCGCGGAGCAGTCTGGGAAGCAGGAACTGGTGCCTGGTTTCCTTGGCTCTCGACTGCCTGGACTGAACTGTCAGCACAAAGAAGTGTCTGGCTTGGTTTGGTTTGGTCTGGTTTGGTTTGGTTTGGTTTGGTTTTTGAGATAGGAATCTCATTGGTCCCAGACAAGCCTTGAACACAAATGTAGCCAACAATGATCATGAACTTCTGATCCTCTGCGTCCACCTCACCTCCAGGGTGCTAGAATTACAAGCTTGTGCCATTACATTATTTGGTGCTGGAGATCAAAACTAAGGCTTCCTGCATGCTAGGCAAACACTCTACCAACTGAGCCACATCCCCACCCCCACAGAAATAAATGTTTCTTTGGATTAAAGAAGACAGCATGTTTGCAACTGATGAAGACATCTTCCCCCAAGAGCCAGTAAACTCAGACATGCTGCTACCAAATTCAGCTCAGCAAGCCGGTCCTGTGTCACGATGTGAGTCAAAGGACAGACACTCTTCATGTGGCCCATATGCTGACTTTGAACTCACTACATAGCTGAGGAGGACCTTGAACTCCTGATTGTCCTGCCTAGACAAGCACATATCAGCACACTCAGGTAGGAAGGCCCTTTATTACAGGATCCCAAGCTAGCTTGAGACACAGGACCAGGTGAAGTAATACAAGCAGTACCGTACTGGGCTGGTGCTGGCCTAGCCCACCATAGAGAAGGCTGTGGTGGGGGCTGGGAGGGCTCTGCCTGGCAGTCACATTTGGAGGGGTGGGTCCCACTCCAGTGCCAAGAAGCAAACCCCAATCCTTCCTTTCAAAGTTCTTTGTTTTAGGAGCTGGCAGAAGTTTGGAACGAGTTACATTATTCAAATACGTAAAGTCCTAATTAGTGGTTGCTCTCTGAAGCCAAACAAAGCAGCCAGTAGTGGCTTCAAAGCCACCCTTCTGATGACAGGCTAGGACACAGGAGGACTTGAAGTAAGAATGAGCCCTGGCTGAGCCACATTTTGGCTGGCTTCCCAATCATCACCATTGATCGCATGCCTGCTTTACTCAGCAATGTCTTTTTCTCTTTATCACCCCAGAGCAAGGTCAGTCTTTATTCAGCAGTCCCCAAGGGGAAATATTAACAAATTCCCTAATGAAAAGATGTATGCAAACTTATCCTTCAAAACTACCATTCCTTCTGAATGCAGTAAGCAAGAAAGTTCTTGAATCAAATCGTAACATCTAGGAGGTTCAACTTGGCGAAGGACTGGAGAACGGCTTTCTTTCCAAGCATGAGTTGTGTTTACCCTTCAGAGTGGAATTATAATAGTTGATTCTCATTTAGGACAGTAGACTCAATTTCTGTTGTTATTTTATTACATTTATGTATAGCGGGGAGGCGCTACCATATATGTGAGGCTAATTTTTTTTTTGTTACCTTGACACAAACTTGAGTTATCCGAGAAAAGGGAACCATAATTGAGAAAATGCCTTTATAAAATTGCCTGTAGGCAAGTGTAACACAAATCTTAAACGGTCTTGTTAATAAAAACAAACCCGAAGCCAGGTATTGGGGTAAATTCTGAAAGATCAGAGAGACAGAACCAGCCATAGATAACCTCACCTCGTCAAATTTTCAGCTGATCTTATTTCCTCAAACTGGAAGCCTCAGTGTCCTCATGCAAATGGATCTCAGCTGAACTGTTACTAAAAGCTAAAAGCTTAAAAAAGGCTCTAGTTCCTGGTCCTCATGCCTTATATATATCTTTCTGCTTCCTGCTATCACTTCCTGGGATTAAAGGCATGTGTCACCATGCCTGGCTGTTTCCAGTGTGGCTTTGAACTCACAGAGATCCAGACAGATCCCTGCCTCCTGAATGCTAGGATTAAAGGTGTGTGTGCCATCATTTTCTGGTCTCCATGTCTAATCTAGTGACTGTTCTGTTCTCTGACCCCAGATAAGTTTATTAGAGTGCACAATATATTGAGGGACACAGTATTACCACATTTCCCCTTTTGTCTAAAATAAAAAGCTTATAACTAATACAAGAAAATACTATATACAGTAAGTATATACAATATATACAGTCAAGAGTTATACTAACAATGTCCATCCCATTATCATTTGACAAATTCAGATAAAAATTTTCATTACTTCTCCTATTTAAAACAAGTAGTTCCTTTTTAAAAATAGATTCAATAATCTCCCTTTTTATCTTATCAGGCAAGCCTATAGGGTATTTTCTTAATAGTGATTGATGAGGGAGGGCCCAGCCCATTGTGGGTGGTGCCATTCCTTGGCTGGTGGTTCCAGGGTGTTACAAGAAAGCAGGCTGAGCAAGCCTCGTGGAGCACTCCACCATGGTCTCTGCATGAGTTCCTGCCTCCAGGTTTCCACCCTGAGTTCCCGCCATGACTTCTCTGGATGATAGACTATTATATGGAAGTGTAAGATGAAATAAACCATTTCTTCTCCGAGTGACTTTTAGCCAGCATTTTATCACAGCAATAGAAACCCTAACTAAGACAGTCTGCATGCGGAAGTCAGAGAACAGCTTTCAGAAGAACACTGACTCCTTCCACCATGCTGGTCTCAGGAACTAGTTGTCAGCATTGCCTTAGCCCACTGAGCCGTTTCATGACTCACAGGTTCAATTCCTTTTTCTCCTTTTTTTTTTTTTTTTTTTTTTTTTTTTTTTAAAGGATATTTTTTTTTTTTTTTTTTTTTTTTTTTTTTTTTTTTGAAACAGGATCACATTATGCAGCCCAAGCTGGACTTGAACTTTCAATCCTTCTGTCTCAGCCTCCTGAAAGTTCAGACTGCAGAGGTGTGCACCCATCAATATTAAGCTTTACTGCTCTTTCATTCCAGCATGGATGAGGACCACTCCAGAGCCGAAGAACAGTACCTGGGAAAAGTGTTTGTTCAGTGACAGCAGGTGCTTTGTTACTTAGTCGATGGGTGAGCATGGAAGGTGCAGCCACAATTCAATGACATTTCCATGTAAAAAAAGAAGATTGGCCCCGGTCTAGTCCTGGAAGGAAGAAGCTTGCCTCACAGCAAGTTCATAGCAAGCACACTGTTTCTGCCTAGATCACAAGGTGGGGTGCTTAGGTGACCAAGGAGGTGCTAAGGCATTTTAGTCCGCAGTATAGAATCCTTTTCTCCCAAGAAGGGTCACATTTATGAGTCAGGACAGGTTTATTATAAACTGAAATGTTACAATACTGGATAAAATGCACAGATAATGCAAGGGAAGCCCCAGAAAACCAACCAACTACAAGGGAAGGAAGGGCTGAGACCTTCCAGGTGAAGCTTGCAGAAAGTGACTCTGCCAGTGTGGCCCAGAACACAAACCTTCAGGAGTTCATCAAAGCACACAAAGATTTGTGCAGCTGAATAAATAGCCACTTTCTTAGCTTAGGTGCAGAGACATGACCCCTGCAGCCACACCTGGGCCTGCCACTTACTAGATGTGTGGTTCTGCTCTGTCTCCATGTGTTACAGACATACTAGACTTAACCTCAAGGGCTGACATAAGTATCCAACTGACTTAGAGCAGAGTGACAGTGTGAGGTATTGTTGTTATTGTTACTCTCTTTAACAAAAGCATGCCTAAGTATCAGAAAAGAAATTACTAGCTGTCTTAGTCAGTGTCTATTGCTGTGAAGAGACACTATGACCATGACAACTCTTATAAAGGAAAACATTTATTTGGGGCTGGCTTACATTCAGAGATTCAGTCCATTATCATCATGGCTGGAAGCATGGTGGTGTGCTGGCAGACGTGGTGCTGGAGAAGGAGTCAAGAGTTCTACATTGGGATGGACAGGCAGCAGGAAGAGAAAGAGATAGACACTGGGCCTGGCTTGAGTGTTTAAAACCTCAAAGCCCACCCCCAGTGACACACTTCCTCCAACAAGGCCATACCTCCTAATAGTGCCACTTCCTGGTGGCCAAGCATTCAAATCAGTGAGCCTATGGGAGTCATTCCTGTTCAAACCACTATACCAGCTATAACTTAAAGGCAGCCTCCACTTGTACCACACACAGAGAGGCAAGCTGGGCCTCCAAATGAGGCGGGGGCACAATTTTAGCTTATTATTTTTCATTTATTTATTTATTTTTAATCTATGTTGGCATGTGCCATGTCACACATGTGATCGTCAAAGAACAGCTTTCAGGAGTCAGTTCTCTCCTACCGTGTGGGTTCCAGGAACTGCTTCATGGGTGGAACCTGGGTTGTCAGGCATGGCTGCAAGTGCCTTTACCCACTAAGTTAGGGTTTCTATCACTGTGAAGAGACACCACGACCACGGCAACTCTTATAAAGGAAAGCATTTAACTGTGGGTGGCTCACAGTTTCAGAGGTGTAGTCCATTATCATGGTGGGAAGCATGGCAGCACACAGGCAGACATGGTGCTGGAAAAGGAGCTGAGGGTTTTACACCTTGAGCCACAGGCAACAGGAAGTGGACTGTGACTACACTGAGAGTAGCTTGAGCATAGGAGCTCTCAAAGCCCGCCTCCACAGTGACACACTTCCTCCAATGATGCCACACCTACTCCAACAAAGCCACACCTCCTAATAGTACCACTCCCTATGAGCTTATGGGGGCCAATTACATTCAAACTACCACACCTACTGAGTCATCTGGTCAGCCCATGGGAAAACCAGTCATAACAGTGCATATATAGTTTTAAAGAAATCAGGAAGAGGGAGAGGAATAACTTAACCCTTGACTCCACAATGCATAATACATAATAATAATAATGAATAG